TGTGTGTGTAAAACTGAACCTGCATTGAATATGAAAACCTGTAAATCCAGTCATTTGGATTCAGGCGTAGAATCAGACATCCAGTGCAGAAGTGGACCAGGCTGTGTTGTGAAGTGCAGTTCGGAAAGGATGGAGAATGCTGCAAAGAGAAGACTTGCTGCCAATGCCAGGGAGAGAAGACGGATGCAAGGACTGAACACAGCCTTTGATCGTTTGAGAAAGGTGGTTCCACAGTGGGGTCAAGATAAGAAGCTGTCCAAGTATGAGACCCTTCAGATGGCTTTGAGTTATATCATGGCTCTCACTAGAATACTTGCCGAAGCAGAAAGATACAGTACTGAAAGAGAATGGATTAGCCTTCACTGTGAACACTTTCATCCGGAGAACTACTACCATTACCCGGGACAAAAAATGGCAACGGACAGTGATCCGTACGCACAGCGAATACTCAGCTATCACCCTGAACACTTTCAAATAGCTAATTAGAACTTTTTACGAACTAAGAATATGCAGCAGGCCAGTTGTGTAATTTAATAATTAGCAAGAGTTAATCTGCTTGAATAAGGTAATATTGGCATTATAATAATTCATTCTTGTTTGCATCTTATACTAATTTGACAAAATAAATTTGCTTTGAGAACTTTAAATTAATATGCATTTAAGAAGATTGAATTTATTTAACACTGGTGGAAAGCGTACTTTTAATTTGAAATCTTTCTGACAGTTGCTTCCTAGTTCCATCTAGTTCATTTGATTCTTTTATTAAATAAGTTTTTGGTGGTTTTTTTTACTGTGATGAATCATGACAGTATTTTCTACAGATCATGGGCCAAATTGACCCATGGTGTAACTGAATGGAATAACACCAGAAATGAACTTCACTCCATGTTTTTATTTTTATGTCAGCTTTCAAGTTACTCTTTGGTTTGTTTTCACATAAATGGCTCCCATGAAAAAAGTTTTATAATGTATTGGAGTTCTAGTCCTTGGAGAACTAACTTTCTTAAACTTTGTAAGTTTGACGTATGGGTTCCAAGGTTGTGTAGGTTTGCTTTAATCCAATTTATGGTGTCTCTTGTATGCTCAAAAAAGAGCTAGTTTCAAGTCATGGAAGGAACGTTTTTATTTTCAATGGCTGTAAAAGCACATGTGATTATATACCATAAATGAGAATGCTCATGTGAAAATAATCTAAACTTCTAGATTTTTGTAGACTTTAAATGTTTGGATTTTATTTTTTAATTTTAGGTTATCTGGAAATAACAGATTTTGTAAATCATAAATAAAGTGTTTTCTATGATATGTCCTCACCAACTACCTGAAATTCCTACTCTAGGAACTACTTACTAGTAGCTTTCCCGCCCCAAATGTTACACTATTTCCATCACAGTCCTGGCAGTTTAATGTGCAGAAGAATCAACTAGCAAATGATGCTTGCTTCCTAGTTAGAGTAAGAAGTGTGTTTTATGTACTCTCTGAAAAACAGCCTTTAAAGATAAGAGTTTGGTAAAAAGTTATAGAGCATTCTTGCAAAGCAGTTGAATTCATTTCAGCCCTGGTGATGCCCTGAATTGCCTTTTGTTTGTTCGCTTCTTTTGCTTGTGGAGGATAGAGGGATCTGGGTAGAAAAGGCAGAAGAGGAAAGGAGGTTGGGAAGGTCAAAAAATGAGTAAGAGCAGGACAGCTGGAGAAGCAGATGTGTTTGTAGCAGGATGTAGGGTCCGCAAAAGTTTGACTGCCAATGTCTGTTGTGATGGCAGCAGACTATGAAGCTGAAGGGTACTTCTGCTGATGCCTATTTCCAGAAACAAGCCCTTGCTAGTGTTAGCCATGAGGGAGAAGGAGAAAAGGAGCTGCTGTCCTAAAACAGCTGTTGGTGGGTTTCCAGCAGGGAAGGCTGGCGTGTTCCCTGCTGGCTGCTGCCATATCTTATGTTTTAGAATTCTTTCAAATGACAAATGAATAGCTTTGATAGGAGTTATTTTCAACAATTAAGCAGCTTTCAATGAAAAGCAAAAGCATCAATAGGAACTAAGCCCTGTTTTGGAGGAGAGGGACTCTGCTGCAGGAACAGTTACATACAAAGAACTGACCTTACTGTCTGTCTTCTCTCAGAACCCTCACTGATGCTTTGCCCTGCACCGTCATGCAGACTAGTACATTTCCTGAGGTGGGAGTTGGACTGTTCCTGGAGTGAAAGCTGCTGGGACAGACTTTCAGGCTAGGTTAAACACATGTGGAAAAGGCACTGTATATTCTGAGCAACTCTCTCCTTTAAATGCTAGCATTCAGGAATGGTTTTTAATGTATATTTTAGCCTCTCTAAAGGTAATGAATAGTGTTAATTATTAAAATGTGGGCTTTTGCTTCTTATGAATTGCATTAGATCTTTATCGGCAAACAGAAAGCGGATTCAGCCTTCTGGGAATATGAAGTCATGTTATTCACTGATTTCTTTGCAGAAGTTTATATAGAGAGAATAGTATTAATTGTTGTCCATCATATAGCCAAGCTAATACTGTTTCAATATTACTCATTATTAAGTGACAATATTATGTATGTAATAACAATCAATACAATCCTTAAATAATTAAATGATGTGCCATCTTACACTAATTTATTAGCTGTAAACTTTGGGCAGACATTGTCTCACCTGCACTGCTAGCACAGTAGTGAGTTTTCCATCCTGAAATGGGAATATGATGCAAATAAATTGTGCAATTATATGACATGAAAAACTTGGCTTAGTGAAAGATAGCCTTCTAAACCTTAGGTGGGAAGGGTAATACAATACCAGAGTAGTGTGCAAGAACAGTACTAATGTGTTTCTGCATTACTGGCATGTAATTTGGTTTTGTGGGACATGACATTGCAGTTTATATGCAACTTATGTAAAAGTACTTAACATCCATTTCTCTTCTGATTTTGTTTCTTCCATGCAGTGTTGTAATTTATCATCTACTGCATATGATGATAGATATAGTTATAAAAATAATGGATTAGTATGCAGTGAATGATTAAATGATAGTAAGCTCACATAAAGAGGAACAAACAACACAAAACATAAAATATCTGTGATCGTGTTACCAAAATTATTAAGAATTGAAACTGAAGTCCTAAAAAGCACTTTAGTGCAGTAGATAGCTTGTGAACACTTTGTAAATCAGATCATTGCATCAATCTCTGCTGTTGAACAATATGGTAAGATTATAATCCCCATTCTCTTAGAATTGGTTTTGCTAGTGGGAGGTGAATGTTTTATTGATGTCTTTATCTATTGATAATAATTAGTAATATTAATAGTGGAAACATTGTGATTTTATATGATACTGTAGTATTTTTGTTTCTTCGTGGGTGCCGTGTTGAGCTGGAAGCTGGGATTTCCAATTTACTATAGCACTGAAGGCAGCAGAGTAAGTTCTTTGTAGTGTATAGACAGATGTCTGTCTATTGATGATCTGTCAAAGCTTTTTGGGGAGTGAATTGGTGCGAGGGGGAAGTTTAATCATTAAAAATTCTTTCTGAAGGCAGTCTGAAAAGCAGATATTATCCATGCTGGTTTGGACTTCTTAAACTCAGCAACTATTCAGGAATTCATTGGTTTCTTTTCATAGCTTTCCTTTACAAATACTTTAGTGACACTGTGAAATGTAAGCTTGACTGTTTAACTTGGGTTTGATTATTGCTCCCAAATATTTGTTCCCCACTGGCTATTTGATGCTTGTCAGATAATGGCTGTGACCCTTCTCTGTATTGGACTTTACTGGCATGGGCATTTGAAGCCCCCTCCCCTTAAATAATTATTGTTTCCAGTGGGCCTCCAAATGAAGCAAAAGCTTAGATGCTCAGAGCTTGGTGTGTTCTTAGTGACTGAGTTTTGTCTGCTCATAAATTTTTGTCCCACAGAACAGCAGTGCAAAACTGAAATACTTCTATTTGTAGTATCAGTACATTGTAATTCTAGAACCACATTATCGTGAAAACATTGGGGATGAGAAATGCTTGCTTCATTAATATTTGTCGCATGCTACACACATACGTGTTTCACTATTGAAATTCGGTGTGAAATTTTAATGAACTAGTTGTGGGAAATTAACCTTTATTCTTCTAAAAGGTTCAGACTGCAGGGTTTTCTATTTGAAGTAGCTATAGATACTCTGCTTCTATGATTCTTTGAATCATATCACCCTGTTTTGACAAGGTGAACAGAATTATTTTTGAACTCGGAACTGTAGTGCCATTTTTAACTGCAGTGACTTTTCAGTGGCTGAAAGCGGAACTAGAGTAGCAAGTTCCCAAAATGTATGTTAGTAACGAAAAGCCAGTGCTTTCTTCCTGTCTAAGTATTGAGGTCATCAGTGGGTATGTATTCGCATGTCTTACAACTTTAATTCGTTCCAATTCTTTAGACTTCTATTTTCCATCTCACCATTCATAAGATATTTAGGGCACAGTCCATCTTGTACTATACACACATACAGGGCAAAGCTCAGTTCTTGACTGGAATTCCTAAATGGTGCTGTAGGACAAATTCTGAAAAGTAAAAGTGTTGCTAACCTTAGTTATAGTCTTGTAAAGTCAATAACGTTACAACTTCTTCACATGAGGAAGCATGAGTATCATTAGATTTTTTTAGTATTTAGCTAAGTTGTTATACCTTGTTAAGTAGAACTTCCCTGGTGAAATCTTTGTGGAAGCCCCTATTGTGATGTGATTCACTAGGCACAAATTTAAAAAAATACGATTTCCAGTAAAATTTTTGATTTTCCAAAATAAGCTTTTGCCTTAAGATGGGTACCCTTACACTTCGGTTTCCAGATACTTGAGCTAAGCAATACGGATGCAGTTTTCTGTAATTTAGGAATGAAATTTACCTAGATTTTTAAAATTGAATAAGAATTTACAAAACAGCTTCTTTTTGCTCTAAATATGTTCAGCTGTTCTATCTCTACAAAATATCCAGGGGAAAAAGCAAATGCACTGAGAATAAAGACATGTTTATTCATTGAAGAAGCAGTCCAGTGTTTCCTCTACACAGATATCTTGTAACAAACATTGATTTCACCTGGTACTTGGGTGCTTTTTAAAACATGCTTTATGTTTTTAACTTTAATTACATTTCAAGAAAATGTGGCTTTAAAAAACCCAAAGCAACCCCATGTATAATATTTAAATATATTTTCTACCAAAAAGTACATTTTAATATTGTCCACTGATTTTTTTTCTAATTTGTAATTCAGTTTTCATTTGTACAGAAATTAGCATGCAAAATACATCTTACACAGAATTTCCTTAAAATGTCTGCATGTGTAACTCCAAGGAAAAAGAAGTTCATTTTTGCATGGCTTCCTGCAGCCTGGGGTGCATAGTCGGTTTTTTTCCAACATTTCAGAATGTCTTCAGTATTTTTCCATTTCTTTACAAAACCATGTTGCCTGCTCCTAACGGATTGTATGATCCTAAAGGATGGTCAGTTTCTCAACAGAATTTCCCACCG